ATTAAATGTTTCTATTTTTATATGAAAACAGAAAAAAAATGGTAAATGTAAATATTTTGTTTTGTTTTTTGGTTGAAAAATGGCTATAAATAGAAATGATGATGATCATCCTTTCACTTTATACAACCGAAAAAAATTACAAAATATCAATGTTTATTTTATCAAGTTCCCCCAATTTTTCCCAAAAAAATTAAATGATAATCAACAACAACAACAATTTGTCAAATCAAATCATCATCAGTTCATTCATTCATTCAGGTAATTCTAATTTGAAATACTTGTTGTGTATAAACACTAATGAAAAACCTTTTTTTTCATTTTTGTTTCTTTCTTCCGTGGATGTATTAACCCTTTGATATTACTTCTTCATTATCACCGCCATTGACAAATCAAAACTTTTTGGGTGAAAATTACATTGACATTGAACAAAATGATAATGATGATGACCATCACATCACATCATATACAGTATGTTTACTTTTTTTCTCTCAGACTTTTAAATCCTCTGGATAAATCTCCATTTAACGATAACAACAACAACAAATCGACGCACACAGAGAGAAATAATAATAATAATAATAAATTATAAACGAAAATAATCGAATGAAGCAAAAAAAAAACACATTCGTTAAATACTAATCGTCAACATCCTGATCCCCTTACATGTGATCATTACGCGGGGGGGAATGTTTATGCGTAGGTGGATAATGGTAATGATAATGGTGGTGGTGGTGCGATAACGACAAAAATGGTTGGGCCATTTTGAAAAACGAAAATAATAACAATGTTTAATTACAATAATAATAAAAAAAATCAATGGTGAAAAAACACATAAAGCGAGAGAAAGTTTTCATGAAAACGGAAGCGGAAATGAAAGAAATTTTCAAAGAAACAATTTACCAGCAGCAGCAACAACAACAACAACGTTCGAAACGTTCGAAATGAAAGAATGTTTATGGAAGCCAAATCAAAAACGAAAATTTTGTTTTTGTTTTTTTGGAAAAATCCTGATTCAAAAAAAAACAACAACAACAAAATATTCATCGATTTAGTTATTCAGAAATTGTTGTTGTTGTTGTCGTCGTTTTCAATTCAATCGACAACAACAACAAGGAAGAATGAAAACGAAAAATTCCGGTTTGAAATTTTTTTTTCACTTTTTTTTTACAAAAATTATCGATTTTTATTTGAAAAATTGTTCTGTTTAACTGTGTTTGATGTCATTCGTTTCGTTTTCGTCTAGTTTTCTTCAATCATCATCATCATCATCATTTGTACTAATCAAACAAGAAAAATATATGATATTATGGCGTCATTGTTTTACCACAAAATCACCACCATCATCATTTTAAAATATAATTTTGAAGGTCAAAAACGTATAATAAACCTTTCTTTTGGTTGAAAAAGAACCCAAAAAAACAAACATAATAAACAGGAAGGTAATGTTGTTGTTTTTTTTTGAATCAACCAAAAAAAAGTGAAAATCTAAAAATAAACAGTCAATCAACTTTATCAAATCAAATATCAAATATCGAAAAGAAAACCAAGATCAAAAAAAAGGGGGACCAGCCGACCAACCAAAAGGAAATAGCCACCAGAAAAATAACACCAGAGAAACCTAGAGAACAAAAAAAAAATCCAAGGACGCAAGGTGTTCCACAAACCTACTAAAAAAAATGGGAAATTTTCCTTTTCCTTTCATCATCATCATCATTTTACTTTCAATCCCATAATGATCAAGGTCATCATCATTATCATCCATCGATTGTTCATCAATGGGATACTTCTTTTGGCAAAAAAAAAGAAAATTTTTGACCTTGTCCCTTTCTTATTATTCAATAGAGAAAAAGGAAAAAACTGAATCGATTCAAACCACACATGTTCCAGCAACAACAAAATTTTACGGAAAATCATTGTTTCCTTTTCTCTCACTAACACTGACTTTCCATCTCTCTCTCTTCATCACACTATCACTTTCATCAGGTTTTTCAATTGGAAAAAAGAGAGAAAAAATAATATCTTTTTTGGATCAACGAAATCAGCAACAGCAGCAGCAACAAGTTCCGAAAATTACGACGACGATTAACATTGACATTCGAATGAGGAAAAGAAAAAATTGAATGAATGAAAGTAAATCAAGGCCAGGTGAGATTATATTATTGTTATGTTATGGAAAGCAAAAACTTTTTCTTTCTCAGCTTTGGAACAAACAAAACAAAGCAAAAAATTTGTTCCAAGTTCAAATTCAATGCAAAAACAACAAGACCCAAAAACAGATTTTCTATGTAAGTATGTCTATCATCATCGTCATATGGATTGTTTTCATCCTACACAGACTGTAAGTATGAAAGACATTGATGAGATCAAAAAGAAAAGAAAAGATGTTTGAAATGAAACGAAAAACACTTTTGCCCTACAAAAGAAAAACATTCCATTCACAGGTAAAGGGCTTTTTTTCTTTTAGTGTAGCAGCCAGCCAGCCATCATCGTCATTATGCCAGAAGCCATTTCAATGATAATAATAAAGGATTCAGAAAACAAAAATGAAAACTTTTCAAAGAATCCTAGATTTTTTTTCTTTCTTTCAAAGAAAACTTTCTTTCAATCCAGTTCTACACTAAAGGAACAAGAAATGAAAGGAAAAACTACTACTTTCACTTGGCAAAAAATATATGGACATTATCAAATCTGTTTTTTTTTCTTCTTCTTCTTTGGGTGTGTGTTTTCGTTCGATCATAATCATCATGCACGATTCCTGATAATGATGATGATGATCGTCAATGAAAACAAGAATTTTTTTTCAAAAAATAAGGTAAGAAAAGTTTCTAACGAAAAAAAAAAGATAAGATTAAGGTCACATTTCAGCAAACTAAACACAGCAACACCTTGATTTAACAGAAAACATACATACAGGATGATTATATAATGATGATGATGATGAGGTTTCGGATGTTTTTTTTTTCACATCACATCCATCCATCCATTCATTTTACAGTGACGATCCTAGTTGTTATGGGGAAAAATCTAGTTTTTTTTTCCTTTCTCTTTTCTTAGGTTTTTTTCTTCGTTAAGAAAAAAAAAGAAAGAAACTAAGAAGAAAGTGGAAGGAGGATGAGAGGAAGAAAGACTTGCTTATCATCCCTCCTCTCTCTCTCTCTCTCTTTTTTCTTGGGGAAAAAAATGATAGTGAAAATCGATCAAACATCAACAAACAACAAACAACAAATCATAATGGATGTTTTGGCTGGACATTCATTTTGTTTTGATTTTGATTTTGAAAAAATAAAAATTTCAATTTCAATGATGCCCTTGACCTGCCGTGTGTATGTGTGTTTATTGAGTGTAAATAGTGTGTAGCAAAAAATAAATGGACAAGGATGGATTTTGTATAAAGTTTATTTTTCCTTTCTATCAAATAGCCACCACCATGATTATATAATGGTCAGTCAGTCAAAGATCATGTTTCCCCTGTTTATGTTTAGCGTGTTGAATCTTTTTCATTTTCTTACAAAAAAAAACAACAACAACATCTGATTGATTGATTGATTCAAAGATCAATATGGTGGTGGTGGTGAGGAGAAAAAAACATTTACATAAAATCGATGCAATACCCGAAATTGCAATAATCAAATGAAAGACAGGCAAGAATAGGATTTTTTTTTTGGAAGAAAAAGAAAACTTTCAAAGAAACTTCTGAGGAAACTTTTCCTCCCGAAAAATTTTCCCCCTATTAAACTTGATAATGATTATGACCGACTTTTTTTCTTTTTTTTTCATTTGCATTTCAATCATCATCAACAACATCATCAAATAATGTTGTCATCATCATCATCATCATTGAACTTGACTTTCAAAAAAAAAAGAAAAAAATAACTGTCATAAAGGAAAAAAAACTATCCTTTACAGCAAACAGCAAACAACAAATGGATTATAATGGAAAATGAAACAATCAACGAAGAAGAAAAGAAGAAGAAAAGTGACATTTTTTTCCAAAATGACATTCATCCAACAACAAAAATGATGATGATGATGTTTGCTTTTGGATCATGGCTACCTGTATTGTGTGTTCCAAATAGGCAAAACACACACACATACAATCATACAAACCACAATTTTGGATAAACTCTTCAATGGATCATCATTATCATATTCAAAATGATGGATATTCAACAAAGAAATCCAAGAAAACACACTTACGCCAACACGTGTAACACGTGCATCAGGATTATCATTATCATAATCACTATTATTATTATTATCATAATAATCTTTAAAGATCCTTTCTTTCTTTCTTCATTTACATCAATGATAATCATCATCATCATTGTTGTTATGAATCTCAGTAACAAATCTTTCTTTTTAAACAAAAAATCGTGATGATCATCACACACACAAAGACAAAGACAATGCATATATAAAACCGAAAATGATCAACGAATGAAAATCCGACAAATACAAAAACAAATGCGAATCTCTATATTGCATAACAACAACACCGTAAACACAGACGCACACTTTTCTTATATAATCATTATTATTATAGCAGAAACAACAACAACAACAGCACTCATTATCACTTCATCATCATCATCCTTTTGTAATAATAACGATGCAAAAAAAACAAAAAGTAAAAAGATTCATATCTAATGAATATGGCCAACAAACAAACGACAAGTTCATGATATTCGTGAATTGCTCCTCTATTCTCAACATTTTTTTTGGAACGACCTAGGCACCTAGATTATCATCATTATCATCATTAGCATTTGCACACACAGTGAGAAAAAAAACCATTCATTATCAATGATAATGAATGCAAAAGTGAAAAAATAAAAAAAAAAGTTTTTCCTTTTTCCAAACAAACACTACATTCACTAACTAACTAACTAATTAGACATATGGGACATAATTAATATGTCCCTTGTTTATGTATTGTTATAAAGTGTGTCATCATTTAGGCAAAAGAAACAGTAAAAAAGACAAAAAACGAAAAAACTTACTTGTATGATGATGATGATGATGATGGCCACCATAATGGCTAACAAATAAATTATTTGCTGTTGCCGATTTAGTGATGGGCGTTAGTATCGATGTTCGATCATCGATACTACCGCCAACAATAATATCATTCGATGATGATGATGATGTTGATGATGGTGGTGATGATGTCGATGATGGTGGTGATGGTGATGATCCATTTGATGATATTATCTGTTGTTGTTGTTGTTGAATAACAGCCATTGCTGTGGATAGATCAAATTTAAAATTTGATGCCGTCGTCGATGTTGGTGATGATGATAATTTTTGGGCTGCTTCAGCCAATAATTCTGTTGATAATGTCGGTGATTCATGATGATTATGATGATAATCATTTATTAATGATGATAATGGATGTTGTTGTTGCTGAAGATAATGTTTACGATAATATTCCGAAGATGAATGTAAAAATTGTTTTAATAAAAATGGATGCAATTGTGCATACGGTAGTAATTGTGGTGAAAACATTTTATCTACAAAAAAATACTTTTTTCTGGTCCTGTTCATAGACAACGATATATCGATGAATTCGTTCGATAATTCGAATGTTTTTTTTCAAAAACGTTCGAATCTTTCAAAACGTTCGATTTTTCAAAACGTTCGAATCTTTTCGTTCGAAAATCATCAACTTTTTCAAGATCAATGTCAATGTCGATGATGATGATAATCAACAAAGAAAAAATTTACCAAATTCAAACAAGGTAAGATTTCATTTTGATTCACAATTTGTGTGAAGAAGAAAAAATCTTTTCAGCAGCTAAATTAAATTAATCTTTTTCGTTGTAAGAGAGAAAGAAATCGAGAGAATTTGCAATCAAACACAAGATTTGTTGTTGTTGTTTGTTGTTGCTGCAATCGTAATTATTATTTGGATCAAAATCATTTCATTTCATTGATTGATTGATTGATCGATCGATCAGTTTTGATGATCAGATTGACATTGAAAACAACAACAAATTAATTGCAATCAAATATATTCAACGGAACAGCAGCAGCAGCAGCAATGGAACTTGAAATGGTTTTTATCGATGTGTGAAATCAGATTTCAAAAAAAAATTTCTCACAACGATTGAACAAAACAAAACAAAACAACTTTTTTGGAATCAAACGTATCGAAAACAAAAAACAAAAACACTGTGATATGATTTCATCTGATGATCATGATCATCAACGTTGACGATGATGACGACGACAAGATGTTTCAACAACCGCAATAAAAACAACAACAAAAAATCCAATCCGATTTTTCTTCACTGATCCGATCCATTGCCGACACTGTCATTTCATTCAACTTTTTCTTGTTGTTCACTGTCGATACAGGTAAATGTTTGTTGAGCCATTAAAACAGGCAGACAATTTTATTTCACTTCACATTCAAAATCTCATGGACACGAACTTGACCACGAAAATGAAATAATAATAATGTTTCTTTGATGATGAACAACAACAACAACAAACGAATAAATGTAGAACACAGGTAAGATGATTGAGAGAAAAAGTTTTTTTCTAATGTTTTTGGAAATGAAAAGATTGAGAGAATGGTGATGATGGTGGAACAACTTTTTGGGAGCCAAAAGAGAGACAATGAGAGTTCCAAGTCTTCTTTAAACTACCTAGGACTAATATTCTCTCTCTCGTCCTCTATATAGTATTGGTCATCGCATCATCAACAAGCATTGATGGATTTGTCAATGAACTTGACTTGACTTGACTCGATTCAAATTGAAAATGTTGAATTTATGAAGATTCCATTTGGATCGACCTAAATCTCTTTTCAAAAGAAAAAAAAAATTTTTTCCTTGATGAGAGTCGAGAAAGAGAAAAGAAAAAAAAACAGACTTTTGAGTTTCTTCTTCGAAGATGATCGAATGAAACAAAAAAAAAATTGGTGAAATATGTGGATGGATAATGTGAAGGATTTTCTTTGGTTTTGATGATGAAGAAGAAGCAGAGACAGGTAAAACTATGTTGCTTACCTGAAATGACAGAACAGAGTTTTTTTTCGTTTTGTTTTTTGTCGTTTGTTTTGATTTTTGATTTGGTGTTGACAAGCAAACGAAGCGAACAGGACAAGAAAAATGATAATGATAATGATGATGAACACCAAAAAGAAAAAGAGAAAAAATCTGAATTTGTAAACAAAAGAAAGAGAGCAAAACGAAAAATTCGAGCCGAAAGAGTCGAGAATTTTTGGAGTTTTTTCAGTAATTTTTTTATGTTGTTGAATTTGATCCGATGTTGAATATCGATGTTTGATTGATCAATGATCGATTGATTGATTTTCGGTGGATGCGTCGAGGTAAATTCGAGGTAAATTTCAGGTAAAAACAAGGAAAGGAAATAGGAAAATAAAAACAAAGTGATACGTCCTATCTGTATGGATCATCGAACTCTTGGTTTTTTTTCCGTGTTCGAATTCGAATGTTTTTTTTGTTTTGCAAAACATTCGAATTCGAATCAGATTTTGCGGTGGTGGTTTTTTGGTGTTCCAGGAATCGATCAACGAAGAAAACGAATCTTATTTTTGCCATTTCGGTTTTGCCATTTAACAAGAATCTTTTTTTTCATTTTTTTTTGTGGTGGTCAGAAGATCACCATCATAAATTCTTTCCGATTCCGACCGCAGAATAAAATACACCTACGCAAAATGCTAAAAAAAACTCTCCCGAAATGAAACTAATGATGATCATCATCGTCATTATCCTCCCCCCCCAAAAAAATGAAAAAACATATCCATCATTCGATAAATATCAAAAAATTGCTCCTGCTATTATGTTTTGTTGTTGTGATCGGTCATCAAATGAATGTTTTTTTGTTTATTTCCATATAACTCAACCAAATAAATGAAGGAAAAACAAATCAATCATCATCATTATCGAGAAAAGAAAAAATAATAAAATATCTGATAAAAGCAAACAAACAAAAAATATCTATCAATGGATATTAAATCAATCATCATTTTGAGGAAAATTNAAGAGAGACAATGAGAGTTCCAAGAGAAGAAATTTGATGGATCCTGATTATAAGAGAGAGAGCAGGAGATATATCATAACCATCATCATAAGGTCATCGCATCATCAACAACAAGCAAAAATCGCATTGATGGATTTGTCAATGAACTTGACTTGACTTGACTCGAATTGAAAATGTTTGAATTGAAAAAAAAGGATGAAGATTCCATTTGGATCGACCTAAATCTCTTTCTCTGTGTTCAAAGGAAAGAGATTTTTTTCCTTGATGATGACAATGATGATGAGAGTCGAGAAAGAGAAAAGAAAAGAAAAAACAGACTTTTGAGTTTCTTCTTGTTGATCAGTTTTCGATGATGATCGAATAAAAAATTGGTGAAATATGTGGATGGATATTGTGAAGGATTTTCTTTGGTTTTGATGATGAAGAAGAAGCAGAGACAGGTAAAATTATGTTGCTTACCTGAAATGACAGAACAGAGTTTTTTGTCGTTTTGTTTTGATTTTTTTTGATCTTGTTTTCTGTTTTCGTTTGTTTTGTTTTTTGATTTTTTTGATTTGGTGTTGACAAGCAAACGAAGCGAACAAACAAACAGGACAAGATAAATGATAATGATGATGATCACTAAAAAGAGAAAAAATCTGAATTTGTAAACAAAAAAGAAAGAGAACAAAACGAAAAATTCGAGCCGAAAGAGTAGAGAATTTTTTTTGGAGTTTTTCAGTTTTTCAGGCGAATTTGAATGTTGATTGATCAATGATCGATTGATTGATTGATTTTCGGTGGATGCGTCGAGGTAAATTTCAGGTAAGGAAATAGGAAAATAAAAATGAAAACAAAGTGATGATGACACGTCCTATCTGTATGGATCATCGAACTCTTGGTTTTTTTTCCGTGTTCGATTCGAATGTTTATTTTTGGCAAAACGTTCGAATTCGCGAATCAGATTTTGCGGTGGTGGTTTTTGGTGTTCCAGGAATCGATCAGAAGAATCTCATTTTTTTCTGGTTTTGGTTTGGCCATTTAACAAGAATTTTTTTCATTTTCTTTTTCATGGTGGTCAGTAAATCATCATTATAAATTCTTTCCGATTCCGACAGCAGAATAATACACCTACGCAAAATGCTAAAAAAAAACTCCCACGAAATGATAATCATCATCGTCATTATCCCCAGAAAAAAAAGAAAAAACATATCCATCATTCGATAAATATCCAAAAATTGCTACTATTATGATCGTTTTGTTGTTGTGATCGGTCATCAAGTGAATGTTTTATTTGTTTGTTTCCATACAGCTCGACCAAATGACTGAAGGAAAAACAAATCAATCATCATCATTATCGAGAGAAGAAAAAAATATCCGATAAAAACAAACAAAAAATATCTATCAATGGATATTAAATCAATCATCATTTTGAGGAAAATTTACAACCAGAAATAAATAAAAAAAGGTCAATTTTTCCCTTTTAAATTGATTTTTTCCCGATTACCGGAGGTACCCTGGGTTAAACCAAAATGTCATCATCATTTGAATGTCGAAAATAATGAATTCTATTTTTGGATTCATTCAAAATCATCAGAATATTCTCATCATCAACAATAATAATAATAATAATAATCATCAAATGTGACTATATCGATCCATTTGAAAAAGAATTGTGGAAATAGGTCTGTTTTTTTTCTATCCTAATAATTATTACTTACAAGTCTGGTTTTTTCTTTCTTTTTTTTTGTTTTACAATTTTATCACATAGATTTTATACCCGGTTAGACATAAAACACACAGTGATGTATGGGTGGTGTGCAGCCAATTGTATCATTTGACATTGTTTTTTTTTACTGTTGTTGTTGTTCATCATCAATGTTAACACCTGTAAAAATTTTCTGTTTCTGTCAACTTTCTTGTTCCCTTTTTTTTTTTGATAGAATCTTAACCCAGTAAGACACCGATGATAATGAGAATTTTTTTTTGATGAGAAAATTTTTTTTTTTAAATTAAATTTTCATCATCACCATTGATGGATCGATCGATTGATGATCGGTCGGCCTCAAAAACTTTTTTTTTCTTTTTTCTTTTTGAAATGTAGGATACCTGTGAATGTGTCAAATGATGATGATCGTGGTGGTAAATTGAAAAAAAAACAAACCAAACTTTTTCCGATTGAAAGAATAAGAGATTCACCTAGATTCTTGGCTTCAATAATCATCATCTTGTGAATCATGTGAATCGGGTATTGCTGCTGCGGTAATATATGAGTGTATCCGATCGACCGACCGACCGACCTACCGAAGTTAAAATAGTCCAGCTTAGTCATCCATTTAAAAATAAAAATTTTACACGAAAATTATTCAGGTGTGTTAATAAAAAAAAACACTACTGAAGAAGAAGATTCAAAAAGGTGTTCAACATCGTTCAATCGTTTTCATTTGATTTGATTTTTCTTTACCTGACATATGTATGTCATACAGACATTTGACAAAGAATTGTTTGGTTTGGTTAGATTGCGTGACAAA